CCCCCCCCCCCCCCCACACACACACACACACACACACACACTTTTACTATAAATCATTAGTTCAGTCGGCGCAGTTTCTTTCTTCTTGAACAAATCCATTCCACTTGATTAATAGGAGAATACTCAAACCACTAAAACTCCACTCCAGGTTTTCCTGGTTACTTCCAATTCTAAACACAGCAGCATTGCTGCCTGCAGTGTTTCTGCTCTGAGTCTCCTCCTGCCTTGGCAGAAAACGGACACAGGTGGAGGAGATGGAGACGCCTCTGTGTTGATCGCTCGACAGTTTAGCGAGCTTAGTGCAGGCAGTTGTTGATCGGGGGATCATATATTCATGTTAGGATGCTTGAGAGAAGTGGAGCGCTACGTCTGTAGCATGTTAGTTTAGCAGTAACTGTGACGATGCAGGTGTAAAAGACACTGTGTGTTCAGGTGCATTAAAGTTGAAATGTCTTTAAAACCCCACATCTTATTGTCCTCAAGCTTCATGAGAAACATTTAGATGAGTAGTGTTGAACACAAGTAAAAATATCTAGTGGCGATGTTTTTTTATTTCTCTATAAACACAAATAGTGCTGACCTGATGCTCTGTATTAAAGTTAAAATGTCTTTAAAACCCACAGCTGAATTTACACAAACTTGGTGAGAAACATGTTTTAAATGTGTGGAATTAAAGGAAATCTAGGTGAACATGCACACGTGCGCACACGCGTGCACACACACACACACCTACACTTATTTGTCCCCCCACACACACATTACGGATGCTTCTGACGCCCTTGGACTGTATTATTATTATTATTTATTAATTTTATTATTGTTATAATGAAAGAGAAAGAAATAAACTCTTCAAAATCAGATCTTTAGATTTGCGTTTGTGAAAACTTTTCTTCTCAACTTCCATGACTTGGTTTACAGTAACTCATTAGTGAGTACTTCAATATTTGTTTTTAAGTGGAGTCCTGTGAAATGGTTATGAGTAGTAAGTATTTTACTTGTTGTAGATAGTTATCTCTATGACCTCAGGTTGTATAAATTAAGAGTAGCCAGACCCGTACGGATGAACTAATGGCTAGTCAGAGTGAGGTCAACAGTAAAGAAGACTCCTGCTCTCTTAAAACAACATATTTAAAAAATGTACTGGTAATTGCAGTTCATGCAAACACCTTTTGTTTCTTCACACTGATACCACATTTAGATGCTTTTCTATTGATAAGTGTAAATGCATTCATTTTTTGTGACATCATCTGTCAACATGAAGAGGAAGTGGAGGTTCAGATGTAGTTTTCAGTTTTACTGGGGGGTTATCCAGTGACGTAGTTCCAATGGCCAGTCAACGTCTGCTGTCTGCTTACATCAAAATCGGCACTTCACTTGGAACCACGAACAAGATGGTCCCATAAACTGGGCTGAGTGGGGCGTGAGTACACACAGTGGGCAGGCCCTTAACTGGAGCACTGTGGTATAAAACCAACGAGAGTTGAGACTATGGCAAATAGCCATTTTATGCTTATTTACACTGAGGTCCAAGTAGGTTTGTCTGTTGCCAACAATGATCCATGTGGGGCATTTTTTTGCAAAACCTAACATAAATGGGCTTAGCCAGAATAAATATTTGATGCAAAAGTAAGGCAGAGTAAAACTCAAGCAAAAAACTGTCACCTACCAGATGATGAGGTTTTTACCCGTCTGTTACCATAACATCTCATGAACTTCTGGAGTTTTAATAAAACTCAAAAATAGTTATTGAACTACAACTGAATAACAATAAAGTCAGCCCAATCCAAGAGGGCTTACACAGCTAATCAACCTGAAAAACTTGCTATAACATGGTCAGTTGTTCAGATATTGATCTAATTTTTCTAATTCTGAAGTCATGCATAGAGTTTCAAAAGAGAATTTGAAAAACAGTGATCATTTGGAAACAGTTGTTGTAATAGACATACGGTGCCTTGCAAAAGTATTCGGCCCCCTTGAACTTTTCAATCTTTTGCCACATTTCAGGCTTCAAACATAAAAATATAAAATTTTAATTTTTTATGAAGAATCAACAACAAGTGGGACACAATCGTGAAGTGGAATGAAATTTATTGGATGTGTCAAACTTTTTTAACAAATAAACTGAAAAGTGGGGCGTGCAATATTATTGGGCCCCCTTGTGTTAATACTTTGTAGCGCCGCCTTTTACTGCAGTTCCAGCTACAGTCTCTTGGGGTTTGTCTCTATCAGTTTTGAACATGGAGACACTGAAGTTCTTGCCCATTCTTTCTTGCAAACCAGCTCGAGCTCAGTGAGGTTGGATGGAGAGCATTTGTGAACAGCAGTCTTCAGCTCTTTCCACAGATTCTCGATTGGATTCAGGTCTGGACTTTGACTTGGCCATTCCAACACCTGGATACGTTTATTTGTGAACCATTCCATTGTAGATGTGTCTTTATGTTTTGGATCATTGTCTTGTTGGAAGATAAATCTCCGTCCCAGTCTCAGGTCTCTTGCCGACTCAAACAGGTTTTCTTCCAGAATGGTCCTGTATTTGGCCCCATCCATCTTCCCATCAATTCTGACCATCTTCCCTGTCCCTGCTGATGAAAAGCAGGCCCAAACCATGATGCTGCCACCACCATGTTTGACAGTGGAGATGGTGTGTTCAGGGTGATGAGCTGTGCTGCTTTTACACCAAAATATCATTTTGCATTGAGGCCAAACAGTTTGATTTTGGTTTCATGTGACCAGAGCACCTTCTTCCACATGTTTGGTGTCTCCCAGGTGCTTGTGACAAACTTTAAATTACACTTTTTATGGATATCTTTGAGAAATGGCTTTCTTCTTGCCACTCTTCCGTAAAGGCCAGATTTGTGCAGTGTACGACTGATTGTTGTCCTATGGACAGACTCTCCCACCTCAGCTGTAGATCTCTGCAGTTCATCCAGAGTGATCATGGGCCTCTTGGCTGCATCTCTGATCAGTCTTCTCCTTGTTCCAGATGAAAGTTTAGAGGGACGGCCGGGTCTTGGTAGATTTGCAGTGGTCTCATACTCCTTCCATTTCAATATAATTGCTTGCACAGTGCTCCTTGGGATGTTTAAAGCTTGGGAAACCTTTTTGTATCCAAATCCGGCTTTAAACTTCTCCACAACAGTATCTCAGACCTGCCTGGTGTGTTCCTTGGTCTTCATGATGCTCTCTGCACTTTGAACAGAACCCTGAGACTATCACAGTGCAGGTGCATTTATACAGAGACTTGATTACACACAGGTGGATTCTATTTATCATCATCAGTCATTTGGGACAACATTGGATCATTCATAGATCCTCACTGAACTTCTGGACTGAGTTTGATGCACTGAAAGTAAAGGGGACGAATAATATTGCACGACCCACTTTTCAGTTTTTTATTTGTTAAAAAAGTTTGACACATCCAATAAATTTCATTCCACTTCACGATTGTGTCCCACTTGTTGTTGATTCTTCACAAAAAATTAAAATTGTATATCTTTATGTTTGAAGCCTGAAATGTGGCAAAAGGTTGAAAAGTTCAAGGGGGCCGAATACTTTCACAAGGCTGAACTCGGAGCCAGGTCCAACATAGTGATACCAGGTACAAGATCAGACAGTTGCTTCAAAACAATCATCCAGCTTCTCTGCTTCTTATTAAAAGAGATAGTCTGGTCATTTTTGAAGTGACGTCCTGTCAAAAAGATTATCACTAGTTAGTACCTTATCAGTTGTGACATCAGTCATAAAGCACAAAGTATTGAGAAAGAGGCTAAAGTGTTTTTCCTGGCTAGGCTAATGGCTAAACAAAAAGATAAAATTAATAAAGTGATGTTCAGATGTGATGCTGAGGGATTTAAATAGGGAATGTTTGGAGTTTTTGACATGGGTGTTTTCTGGACTGGACATGAACAGAGAATTCAAGTAAACCTTAATGTTTTTGGTGCAATATATTCAAGAGGATAGGAGTTAAACTGTGTAGAAGAAGAGAGGAAGGCTTTTTTTTTTATTTTTGCTTGTTTGAGTCAGTGTAAAGTGATGGATCCTGGCAAGTGGAGGGAGCAATTTTATTCTCCACCAGGCACAATGGCAGTGCTGTCACCACAACAATCATGTGTAGAAACTATACTTTTAAGCAATATGAAAAGTAGAAAGCATAGTTTTCTCAAATAACAGGGGTGAATAGCTTACACACACACACACATACATATATATATATATATATATATATTGGGCGGCCGTGGTGCAGTGGTAGTGGCAGCCGACCTCTGATCGGAAGGTTGGAGGTTCGAATCC